ACATCGCTTCCACCTCCACCACAGCTTGCATCATAGTTTTCACCTCCGTAGCTTACACCACCTTGCTTGCACGACATAGTTTCCAACACACAGCTTGCAACGCACAGCTTCCACCCTCTCTGATTCGCACCGCGCTCATCTGCTTTTCGATCTTATGCTATTTGGCTCGTCATAAGAACGGCGGGCATCGAATCATTTGGATGCCGTTCGAGGAACGACACCGCATAGTTTCCGCCGTCGCAGGGCAATCTTGCATTGTTTGGGGTCCACGCTGACTGACACTGTGTGAGTTAGGTCATTTTTCCCTAATCAGTGCTTGAACGTGCAGGCTTTCGCCACGTTGCCGCCCTCGCCGCCTCGTGGGCGCCTTGTGAGTGCCCAGCGCTTGGGGGGTATGCCGAGGTTGCGTAAAGTTGCCGCCCGTGCCTCCTCGTGGGCGCCTCGTGGGCGCCCCGCGCTTGGCGGGTACGCCGAGGTTGTGCCACGCTGCCGCCCGTGCCGTATGGTGGGCGCCTCGTGAGTGCCCCGTGCCCTGAGTTTACACGAGATGGCTTTCACCACAGCTTATACCACACAGTTTATTTCGCATAACGTAAACACCATAGCTTACAGCACATATATCCTTTTTCTAAAACCGAAATAAGTTCCACCACCCTCCCCCCAGGGGTTAAGGACCACCCGGGAACCGATGCAAAACACAGGATTCTGACCCAATGTCCACCCTACTTGTGAATTCATACTATCGCAGCCAGGCCGGTGTCAGCCCCCCCCGCCATCCGATGCAACAAATATTTTGCGCGCGCATTCGTTTATCAAAAATCACAAGTTCCCAATAATCCCTTGCAAAGAGTGGGACGAAATGCGCACGTGCGCGCCGTCGCGCGCGCATGCCTAAATCCTTCACAAATTTTGAATTTCGGAAGGATTTCAAAATCGACTGTCCAACAAACATACAACAACACAGGGTATCGCAATGCGGACTTTCAAAAATTATGCGTGCGCGCTCCTGCGAATTCTTCAGAAAAGCATAAGTCTTTCAACATTTTCATGAAATGCTAACGAACAGGCTTCGCGCGCGCATGTCGAAATCCTTCGAACGCCCTTGCGCGCGTGCCGTCGCGAGAATCCTCTGCAACACATTGGACGAAGCGTACGCGCGCGCGTCGTCGCGCGCGCATGCCGAAGTCCTTCAAAAACCTTCGGTTTCGGAAGGATTTCGAACTCGAGTGTCCAACAAACGTACAACAACACATTGTTTCGCAACACGGATTTTCAACAAAAGCGTGCGGGCGCGCTCTTGCGAATTCTTCAGAAAGCCATGCGTTTTTCTCAACATTTCATATAACGTGCTACCAAACGGGCTTCGCGCGCGCATGTCGAAATCGTTCGAAAGCCCTTGTGCACGTGCTGGACTGGCACGATCTGTGTCAAATGATACCATGCGAGCCACCCTCGCGCGTCTGCCGCGCGCGCATTTCAAATTCCTTTCGAAACTTTCATCACCGACGCAACGACGCCGTCTTCGTCGTCGGCGTGGTCGGCATCGGCGCCGTCACTGGCCGTGCCGTCGTCGCTGTCAGCATCGCCACCAACATCGCTACTATCATCATCATCATCATCATCATCATCATCATCATCATCATCATCATCATCATCATCATCATCATCATCATCATAATCGTGTCTACAAGTGCCGACGTTGCCATGATACCGCACCCGCCCAAATCGCCGACTCGCACTCAAGTGCCCGCTGGGATGTGCCGAGCTGTCAGCACCACCGCGGCCGCGTCGGTCGCGCCAAACTACCTGGCCGCTGCGCGCGCATGCGCGGGCTGGCGCGGCCGCAGAGATGCACCAGCCAGCGCCAAGCACTCATCGCAATCGCCGCCGCATGATGTTTGCAAACCAAGTTGCGGGTGGGTGGGTGGAATGTTTGCGCGAGCAGTGGAGTGGACAAATCGTTGCGAACAGAAATTTCTTGCACACCATAGTTTCCATCTCCAGCCCATGCCGCCCAGCTCACACGACAAAGCTCTGCATCACATAATTTACACTTGTGTTGCATTTTTTGATGCGATTCGTGTTTGCATTTGTGATTGCTATTGTTCTTTATGGTGACGGATGTTCGTAATCTATTGAGTGGGGCTGTGCAGGAGGGGTGGTCAGAAAGAGCAGGGCGGGCGGGAGTGCATGATGGGGGAGACGAGGAATATAATGGGGTGGGTGCAGGCGAGAATGCAGGGGCAGCAGCCTCCTTGTCCTCCTTCTCCTTCTTCTTCTTCTTCTCCTCCTCCTCCTCCTCCTCCTCCTCCTGCTCCTCTCCCTCATCCTCCTCCCCTTCCTCCTCCCCCTCTCAGTCGTCCTGGGGCACAGCTGGGCGTTACCATGCGGAATGCACAACAATTATCTTCTCCCCCTCGTCGTCGTCATCCTCCTCCACTGGGGGAGGAAGACGACGACGAGGGGGAGAAGGAGGGGCGGATGGGACGGCCAATCACCTCCCCCACTTCCTCCTTTACCCTCCCAGCCTTCCGATTTCGATTCCAATCCGGCTTGCGGTGATCTGGTTTCCGATTCGATCCCACTCGGCCCTGCCGACTTCTGTCGATTTCGATTTGGCTGCCGACTTCTGTCGACTTCTGCCGATTCGATCTTCGGGTCGATCCGATTCGACTTTCCGATTCGATGCTGGGGCCACCTGCTCCAGTCCGATGGTTTGTTTTGGTTTGTGGACTCGCATTCAAGCCCATACCATACCATATCTTCTCCTCGTTCTCTTCCTCTTCCTCCTCCTCCTCCTCCTCCTCCTCCTCCTCCTCCTCCCCCCCATACTCTTCCTCATATTCTTCCGTTTTGCCCGAGCCCGAGGGGGCCTTCTTGGGGCCGCCCGGCCGGACCAGAGCGTTACGTATGTTTGGCCAGCTCGTGGCGTGTATTGCTCAGGCCTCTGCGGCTGGAACAGAGGGCACCATACGCAGAGGGTTCTCTATTGTACGCTTGTAGCCACTGGCAGTCCTTGTTTCACTGGCAGCTGGCTTGCTCGCCGTTCCGTAGCGAGGCGCTCGATCAGTCAATCCTCCCCCCTCCTCCTCCATCCCTTGTCCTTGTGAATAACTCCTCACTTTCGCAAGCCCCCACGTGTCGGCAGGGCGGGCAGGGCGTTTAGCTTGATGCCCACTCAGCATTTGTGATCCTGAATCTTGAAATTTGCAACAGTTTAACGCGTGGAGGGCGGACCGTTCTTTAAATGTGGTTCTCGCTCTAGCGCGCCCAATCAGAGCTTGCAGCTGTAGGGGTCCTAGCGGAGTCATGTGGTTAGGTGAGGTATGGCGCCGATTTCGGCGGCACGCCCGGGTGCCCGGGTGCCCAGGTGCCCGGGTGCCCGGGTGCCCCGGTGTCCGGTAGCCCTATAATCTTATAGCCCTATAGCCTCGTAGCCCTATAGCCCTATAGCCCTATAGCCCTGTAGCCCTATAGCCCAATAGCCCTGTAGCCCTATAGCCTCATAGCCCTATAGCCCAATAGCCCTATAACCCTATAGCCCTATAGCCGTATAGCCTTATAGCCCTATAGCCCTATAGCCCTATAGCCCTATAGCCCTATAGCCCTATAGCCCCATAGCCCTATAGCCTTATAGCCCTATAACTATATAGCCCCATAGCCCTATAGCCTTATAGCCCTATAGCCCTATAGCCCTGTAGCCCTATCACCCTATAGCCCCATAGCCCGATAGCCGTATAACCCCATAGCCTTATAGCCCTATATCCTTATAGCCCTATAACCCCATAGCTTTATAGCCATATAGCCCTATAGCCCTATAGCCCTATAGCCCTATAGCCCTACAGCCCCGTAGCCCTATAGCCCAGTAGCTCTATAGTCCTATAGGCCTATAGCCCTATAGCCTTATAGCCTTGTAGCCCTATAGCCCTATAGCCCTATAGCCCTATAGCCTTACAGCCCTATAGCCATACATATGCCTATAGCCCTATAGCCCTACATCCCTATAGCCCTATATCCCTATAGTCCTGTAGCCCTATAGCCCCATAGCCCTACAGCCCTAAGATTATTATGACTGGGGTTATTCTCCAGTATCATTTGAATGAGACTCTCGCTCTAGCGCAGCGAATCTGTGCCTTCAAAGTTTGCATCAGTTTCGTGGATGGATGGCGGGTCGTTCTCAACATTTTGCTCTCGCTTTAGCGCCGCGCGCATTCGTAAGTCTGCAGCAGTTCCAAGGATGGATGGCAGGTGGTTTTCAAGATGTGACTCTCGCTTCAGGGCCGCGCACAATCGTCCTGATAGTCTGCAACAGTTTCAAAAATGGAGGGCGGTTCCTTTTCAAGCTGTGCTTCTCTCCTCTACGCCGCGCACAGTCGCATCAACAGCTTGGAGCGCTTTTAAGGGTTCGTATGGTTGAACTCCGGGCCGTCATGTTCTAGCACGTTTAGGATGGCCAGCATGGGGCAGTCATGTTGATTCGCTGTGTTGGGACCCCAGGAATGGTGCCAGGATGCAACAGTGACGTTGATCCGCAGTGCTGACGTCCTGGGAATGGCGTTTTGGTACGGCTGAGGATTCTCAGACGATCGTCGTCCAATGGGGCACTTGCAGCAATGAAGCTAAATCCTAGTAGGGACCAATGGAGAGGGAATTTGGAGGGAGGGTTTATTGCAACATCGTTGATGCGTCTTGGGTCTCCACTCGTCCTCCCTCCTCCTTCTCCTTCTCCCTCATCCTCCTCCTCTTCCTCCCTCCTCTTCGTCCCTCCTCCCCGTCCTTCCTCCTCTCCTCCTCCTCCTCCTCCTCCTCCTCCTCCTTCTCCTTCTTCTCCTCCTTTTCTCCCTCCTCCTCCTTTTCTCCCTCCTCCTCCTCCTCCTCCTCTCTCCTCCTCCTCCTCCTCCTCCTCCTCCTCCTTCTCCTCCTCCTCCTCCTCCTCCTCCTCCTCCTCCTCCTCCTCCTCCTCCTCCTCCTCCTCCTCCTCCTCCCCCTCGCGCTGGGAGGCAGGAGGCAGCACTGCAGCATCCAGCCCCGCGCGCCGCGGCGCCGCGCGATCCCCCACCCGGCGCGCCGCGCATCCGTTGATAGGCGATAGGACGCGCGAGCGAGAGCGTGAGAAAGAAAAGCAACAAGAACAAGCGGCACAGACATAAGCTTCGCAGGCTCCGCGCGATTTTTTTGGATCTGCGTCGGGCACCCCTGGCGGCGCCTCTGGCGCCGCCCCTGGCGCGCCCCGCGCCCTACGGAGGGTGGTCCGGCGCGGATCTAAGAACTCAGCGCGGACCTTCAACGATTGATTTTTGACGCCCTATTTCGTCCTGTAAAAGGGCGCTGGGACGGCTTCCTCCCCGCCCTGCTCCTCCCCTTCCCCTTGAGGAGGAACAGATACCGAGGCCGCCGCTCGTTCTGGAGAGTCTTCGTCGCCACGCCTGGTCAGGACACAATCGGGGAGAGGTCTGGGGAGTAGCTATGTCGATGCCTTTCCCCCCTCCCATCCCCCTCGCACTCCCCTACTGTGCTCTCTCCCTCCCCCTGCTCCCTTCACCCTCCCCGTGTCCCCCCCCTCCCCTGCTCCCCTCCCTCCCCTGTTCCCCCCTCCCCTGCTGCCTCCCCTGTCACCCTTTTCCTTGTCGTCCCCTTCCTCAGGGCGAGGAGTGACGAGGAGCTGGAGGAGGGGGAGGAGGAAGAGCACGAGGAGGAGAGAGGAGAGAGGAGAGAGGGGAGAGGACAAGCTAGGTGCGCTCGCGCGCCATATCTGGCATCCTACCCCTCCCACCTGTCCTTTCCCACTGCGCAAACTACTTCTGGTGGTGATGATGGTGATGACGATGGCGGAGAAGACGAGGACGCTGCCGCCGCTGCTGTTGACTGCTAGGATACACATGAACATGATGTTGATGGGGCACGCGCCGCCTTCGCCCCGCGGCGTCTCTCCCCTCCTCGCGCATTTCGCTCCGCTGTCTTCGGCCTCGTTCGCGCGCACCCGCGGCCGCGCGCGAGCCGCGTACCGCCCCGCTGCTCTCCTCGGGCCCGCAGCGGGGCCGCTCCTAGCGCGACGCCTCCGAGGGAGTTTGGCAGCGGCTTCTGCGGGAAGTCTGGGAGGGGGGTCTGCGGACCCACGTCCCAGCAGCCAAGGAAGGACGTACACGTACACATGAATCCTCGTTGGTTTCGAAAGGTCGCATTGATGCAATGCTCGAACCTTCGTATCACGAGGCTGGTCTCGCGGACTGGGGGGCCGTATTCATGTACGTGCTTGGGCGCGTACGTCCTTTGTGGTCTCCCACACGTTCCCCTCCTCTTCTCAGGAGAAGGGGTCTCCTCCTCCTCCTCCTCCTCCTCTTCCTCCTCCATCGTTGTCGCCGTCGTGGGTGTGGGTGCTGGGCAGCAGGTGCTGTGTTGTGGGCATCTGAGGAGTGACCGCGGTGGTGGTGGTGGCAGCACCAGCCGCAGCAACACATACTTAGCAGCATCAGTGGTATGAACAGCGGTACTGTCAGTCGCCGTGCCAGCAGCAGTTGTGTCATTAGCAGCACCAGCGGCATCATCAGCATCAGTAACAGCAGCAGTGGCCGTCGTCGTCGTCTTCCTTCCTGGCCGTCCGCCCACCGATGGTGGGAGGCCGCCCCTCCTCTCGGATTTCCGCTGCGCGGCCCGGCGGAGTGAGCCTTCGGTAGCCATGGGCAAGTTCACGCTGGACCCGTCGTTGCAGGCACGGCTCTGCGACGACGAGGGGTGGGGAGGAGAGGGAAGGGAGAAAAGAGGAGGATGGTAGGCGCAGGAGAGGGTGGATGGGAGGAGGAGGAGGAGGATGGGGAGGAGGAGGAGAAGGAGGAGGAGGAGGAGGAGGACGAGGCAGACCACAGTAAATGCATGCTCCATTAACGATGCCGCAATTCGCACATACATAACTATATATACATATATATATATAGATAGATATGTATGTTTCTCTTTCTCTCTCTCTCTCTCTATATATATACGTGCCCCCGTGTGCCAGCACGAAAGTGTACCCTCTTCCTTGCCCGACTTCTGTGGCCATTTGGGCTCAGGCGCTTGGCCGTAGGAGGACGGGGAGGAGGAGGAGGAGGAGGAGGAGGAGGAGGAGGAGGGACGAGGGGGACGAGGGGGACGAGGGATGATTAAGAAGCCTCCCCACCCCGCCTTGGCTCAGCAGTTCTTCGGTAGCGTCCAGTAGCCTGGCCCAGTTTTCCTACTCTCTGCGAGCGCTTGGGGCTGAGCCAGGGTATCGCCTCAAGCTGGCCCAATCTTCTTCAGGCTAGTTTTTCTTGATCCTAGCCGTGGCTGTGCTCCAATCTCTGGCCAGGCCATCCCGCTCGCGCGCCCCCAGGTCGTCGGCCACGCGTGGCGTTCCAGCCAGGCCGTCGCGTTCGGCGCAGCTTCGCCCTCGGCGGAAGCCGGCGAAAGGTGGCGGAAGTGAAACGGTGGGCAGCAGGTCGGTGGAAGTGGGCGACAGCAGCAGTGAGACGATCCCCGGTTCTGAAGTCAGGGTTTCCGGGGTCGGCCGACTGCGCGCCCGACCTGCGATGCCATCGGTCTTGCTGGATGCGGGACCCCGGATCTCTTGACAACTTCTCGGGGACCGCTTTTCTCATGCCGGACCGTTTCTTCACTGGCCCCGCAGCCCGACAGCGGCCTCCAGGCGCCGAGAGCGACGAACAGTTTGCGCCCTGACTTTACGTCGGAGGCCTGGGCACCAGCAGCGCATCCTGAGTTTGGCGGCGATCTTCCAGGGGCCCTTCCAGGCCTCGTGCCAGGGGCACTGACAGGGGGGGGGGGGGGGGCTGGCCCAGGGGGGGGGGGGAGCGGAGGCCCCCAAACGGTGTGCGGTGACCATGCCGCGTGGTGAGTCAGTGCGGATTCAGGTCACTGCACGGCTTTGGGACCCGGGTCTTTCTCCGAGGACGTCTCGGGCTGCCTGGGTCCTCCAGGGTCCCAAGAGCGTGCGGTGACGGACCGTGCGGTGAGGTCGCCTGGGAGTCCAGGGTCACCGCGCGGTCCGTCACCACGGGCTCTCGGGGCCCCGCAGGGAAGCACCGGCCCCCCCATCGCCCACCCCTCGCCGGTGGGGCCTGGGCCCCCGCCCCGCCCATGAGAGCGTGCGGCCCGTGCAGCCCGTCCGTCGAGGGTCTGCCGTCGACCTGCTGGCGACGTGTCGCCGTTGCCAAGTCGGCGTCCCGTGCCCCCCTCGCCGACCCCGCAGATGAAGATGCACCAGTACCAGATCGTAGGCCGGGCGGCGCCCACCCCGAAGAACCCCACGCCGAAGATCTACCGCATGCGCATGTTCGCGAAGAACAAGGCGCCCGCGCCCCCCACGTCGGCCATGGCGGCCACGTCCACTGCCGCCTCTCTCCTCCTTGCCCCCTTCGCTCCCTCCGTCGACATCCGCTCTCTGCGTTTCCCTCCGCCCCGCAGCCTTCTCGTGTTCATCTTTCTTCTTCTTCTTCTTGCCCTCCTTCCCTTCCCTTCCTCTTTCCCCCCCTCCTGCTCAAGCAATCGCGGCTCGAGTTGTCCGTAGCTTCAGGCTCGGCTGCTCGCTAGGGCGCGCCTCCCGCATTCTCGTGGCGCTCGGAGGACGTCAAAGCAGCTGAGTTGTTCACTATTGCTGGACGACGAAGGGAGTCATATTCGTTTCAGTTTATACGAGCAGCTAGTCATGGCGGACGACGAAGGGAGGCATATTCATTTCAGTTTATACGAGCAGCTAGTCATGGCTGTGGACCACGCGAGCCCGTACACCTCGGCGAACTGGATCGTCTCCGACATCGGTACGGCTGCACTCGAACGTAATGCTGAGCCAGCTTTTCGCAATCTCGGTGCTCATGCTAATTCTGAACAGCTTGGAGCTCTTCGCCGTTGAGTGCGTTCAGGAGCCACCATCGCTCATCATCCAGGCTCGTGCCTGGCCGCTGCAAGATTGCTGAAACCATTTTGACCGCCTCACCAGGCATTACATAACATCCAGGTCCAGCCACTGGGGTAGTAGTCGGTTCTACGAGAGCATGATGTTCGAGGCTATTGTTCGGCAGATTCCAGCAGCAACCGCGGTGGCGATTTGCAGGCATAGTGGCTATACGTATCGGAGTAGGCCCTACGCTCACGGTGTTTGCGCCGCTTTGTCATGCCCCTGGCTACCAGCCAAAGCAGATGGACTTCTCGGAGATCGGCCAGTTGCATACTCTTCAGAGTAGTCGTGAAATGGTGGCACGCGTGCAGGTCCGAGGTCCACACGTTCCGAACGATGCCCTCACCAGTGACGGCGTTCTCGATCTCATCGAGATGTGCGCAGCGGCTTCGTATCTCAATATGAAGCTCATATTGGGTCACTATGGCAAGCTCGACAAGGACCCTCTGGTAGAATCATCTTTGGGAAATCCTTGGGACATATATCCAAATTGTAGTTGGGCGTTGCCAGAATCTCTAGAAGATTTCTGAGCTGGAGTCTCCGGCAAACATCCGAGTTTTATATACAATATCTGGGGGAATCTCGGGAAAGTTTCCAGGGCGCAGGAATCCTTTGACAATCGGCGGAAAATCTCGGGAACATTTCCGACGTGCAGCTCCAGAACATCCATGGGCCATCTCAGGCAAATATTTGGAACGTCTCTGGCGCACAGGAATCTCCAGAAAATCTTAGGAACAGGTCCGACAAATCCACGGAATATCCCCTAAGGGGGGTTTCATTGGATATTTCCAGGGCGCGAAGATTTGTTGGAGATTTGTTGGGGGATTGCGTAAGGCGCCTTTTTTTGAGATCCATCAGGCAATTTGCATGGCTCGAAGTTTTTGCTGTTGGGCATTCGCCTGGATATTTTTCGGAGATCGGAGATTCACGGGAATTCGTGGGGAAATCTTCTGAATATTCCAAGGCGGTAGCGTTTGCCAGAACCGACCCAATTTTATTTTTGGCGAGTATGATGGGTCTTTAGCCCTTGGTTGCGCGGTGGGGGTTCTCGATCACTACTAGCACACATTGGTTCGGCCGCTCTCAGCAAGGATGGAAGCGGTTTTGCCAGTGAAGGTTTTCAGTGGTTGCCCAGGTGCGTGCGCGGAGTGTCATGGGCATGTTTGTGGCCATTGTGCGCGGCAGGTTTTTGAAGAGTACGCGAAAAATCATGGTTGTGTTAGCCTGTGGACAAAACCTTCTTGCACTCCTCAATCTTTTCAAGCCGTGCTCTGACCTGAGCGCGACCGTCAAGCGGTACCATACCAAGCCTGTCGAGCAGCGTGGCGACGTCGTTCCCAGCATCAGCGGCGAGCTCTCGGCATTGTGTTGAGCTCGTCCTCGGTCGGATTTGTTGCTGTCGTTAGCTCAGCTGTTGGTGTGGTTTTGGCTGAGCCTGGCCAGCGAAAGGCACTCGCATTTTTATGGTGGTGGGCTTCTACAGGCTGAGCCTGGCCAGCGCAAGGTATTGCTTTCAGAATGGTACAACTTCTGTCAGTGCTTGGATAGTGTTAGTACTTCTTCTCTGCTGTCCTTAGTCGCACAGTGCAGCGGGGACGTCCTTTTCTGTATTAATTTTGCGTCACGTGGTTGGAAGTTCGCTACTTGTTAATTCAGTGGGATCGTGCGTGGTGGTAGTCCGTGCCATCTTCTTCTGCCGCTGCAACTTTATTGCAGGAGTTTCCAGTCCAATCCATTGTGATGATTTTTTTGCAGCTGTGCTCCAGCATTTATCATGGGAATGGGTGTGGCGAGTCAGGGTGAAGCAAGGAGGCTGTCCATCGGGGTTGGCGGTCCCGTTTTGGAGCCGTACCTTTGTGTATGGAATTTGGGGTTGCGCGTTGGCCAGTGTCTTCGGTATTTTAGTGGGCCGCTTCGCTTCTGCCTATGTCCTTCAGCATTGCATCGCGCAGTTCTCGGTCGGAGTTGTTTTTGTTGTAGTGTTTCGGGTTCCCGTACTTCTTCGGGCTCGTGGTGGCCATGGGCCAGTTCAAGTGTTTGGTTCGCCCCCGGAACCACAACATGGGATTGTTGTGGCATATCTTTCCGGACGTTCCCAGTCTAACCTGCTGTGGTGCATTTTAGCAGTTGCGTCCTGGCCTTTTCTCATCGGAATGGGTGTGGCGAGTCTGGGTGAAGCAAGGAGGCTGTTTCCCGGAGTTGGCGATCCCGATTTGAAGCCATATTTTGTTGCATGGAATTTGGGGTACCCGATGCCCAGGGCTATCTTGGTACTGTAATGGGCCTCATCGAGTTCCCTTCGGTTCAGGTTGTGTGCTTACTTGCTTCGGAATATACGTCATGCAGTTCTCATTCGGAGTTGCGTCTGGCAGTTTTCCAAGCTCCTCTACTTCGTCATCGGGCTCGTGGTGGTCACGGACCAGTTCAGCGGTGTGGTTTGCGCATAGGGACCACACTGTGGGATAGCTTGTAGTCTCTTGTCTCTGTTTCCTCTCCCCCTCCCCCCCCTCCTTCCTCCTTCCCTCCTCCTCCGTCCTTCCCCCTCCTTCCCCTCCTTCCTTCTCCCTTTCACCTCCTCCTCCTCCTCCTCCTCCTCCTCCTCCTCCTCCTCCCCCTCCCCCTCCCCTCCTCCTCTTTCCCTGTCCTGGGCGGGCGCGCGCGGTCAACGCATCTCTGGACTCTGGGGGGGGCACTGCGCGAGCGGCCCCCGGGAGTGGGCGGCCAGAGCGGGCGCCCGCCGTGGTTGGTGCATGCGGGCAGGCCGAGAGGTCCCGCGCGGCAGGCCGCCCCGCAGTTCGGGGAAGGACAGCCGCACAGACGGGAACGTTAAGCAGTTGCACGAGTGGGCGGAGGTGGAGGAGGAGGAGGAGGAGGAGGAGGAGGAGGAGGAGGAGGAGGAGGAGGAGCAGGAGGAGGAGGAGGAGGAGGAGGAGGAGAGGAGGAGGAGGAGGAGGAGGAGGAGGAGGAGGAGGAGGAGGAGGAGGAGCAGGGAGGAGCAGGGAGGAGAAGGGGAGAATTCAGGAGAATTCGGCGACGACGATGTCGAGTTTCGGCACTGGGACGGGTGCCGCCTCGGTGCCTTGAAGCGCGTGGGGCCCCTGGCGCAGCACGCATACTGTGCACCACCACGTGGAACAATGCTCTGCATATTCCATGGTATGTGAGGCGTGCACAGCTCTATTTCCAGTCTGGATGCTCCTAAACAGACGTTTGGCCCCTCGGAACCTTTGAGCCCCAAGGGTCCTAGCCTTACATCTTCTTCACCTTCTTGACGGGGTCCGCCTCCACGCTCGCGGCCAGCGTGGAGAGCACCCGGCTGCCGATCCTGCCTGTCTGCTGCCGTATGTACCACGCGGCCTGCTCCTGGAACTCGCTGCTGGTGGCGGAGCGCAGTGCTGCGAGCTCAGAGCCGCAGGCGGCCTTCTCCTCGTCGGTGGCTGCCAAGTGTTTCTCGGCGTTACCGCTGACGGCGTCAGTGGAGATGATGTCGATGGCCTTCTGGACGGCCGCCAGCTCCTCTGCGCGGAGCGTCTGCCTGGACTCGAAGGAAGTCTGTGGCCTTCTGCTCGCAACTGGCGACCAGGTCGGTGAGATACTGCTGGTCGGCGTCGCGGGTCGTCGTGGTGTCGGTCAGGTCGCCCTCCGCGTCCGCCTTGGCCTGGAAGGCCTTCGCCTTCAGTTCCGCCTTCTCCTCGCGGTCCTGCTTGGCCTGCGCAGTGGAGGACTCCAGGTCCTGCATCAGCATCTCGAATCCCTGCTGGGTCTTCGTCTTCGTCTCCGTCTTCTCCAGCGTGGTGCGTTCCGCGATGAACTTGTCCATCAGCTTCTCGAGCATATCGATCACGCCCTTTGACTGTGCCCCTCTGCTCGTGAACCAGGATGACGCTGTCCTTCGTCCACGCGCTGAAGCAGGGCTAGACGGCGCCCTGGGAGCCGGCCAGGATGTTGTGGTACGGACGGAGGGTGTCCATCTTGTACCTGAGGATGCGGGAGGAGAGTTGACGGATATGATGATGATGTTCAGCCCAATCAGCTTGGGAGAGTCCTGCTGGTGGATCCCAGCGTGCTCGAAACCACCCGTTGAGTAGTAAAGCTGCCCGCTCGTTTTCGGGCACCAGCCGTGGCAAGTTGTGCGGGTGAATCCTTGTCCTGGCCCGCTGCTCTGACGTGTTGCTGCACTCCCACAGGAGATGTCGTGTGGTGGCAGGGACGCCACACTGCTCGCAATCATGCGGAACCTCAGCATGAATGTGGTGAAGACGATCTGGGCTTGGCTCTGCCCCGACTGCACACCGCCACGCCCATGTGCGCTGGGCTGCCGGCTGCTTGTCTATGAATTCCTGGAGCGTCTTGACGTCCAGGCTCGGCAAGTCCACCCGCTCTTTCCGATGCGTGGTGGCGCTGGCGTCCCTCATCATGAAGCCGCGCCACGCCTCGCGGACGTAGTGCTCGAGCTTGCCCTTGGAGATAGAGATGGAGAAGGCCGTCCCCGCGAAGGTTGGAGAGTACGGGTCGTCGCCGCACTGCCAGCCCATGCCGTCGAAGACGCTGCGCATTCGTCCCACCATGCTCTGGAGGAGCGGTGGCCCTCCCGTCGCGGACCTCCAGGCTCTGCGAATGAGCGGCTGGAGGTGGCTGTTCCTGGTACAGCGTAGGAAACTGATGAAGCTGGAGAAAACGACGCCCATGGGCTCGACCTTCCATCCCTTGTCGAGGAGGCACCAGGCGGCACCCCTGTGTCTCCATGTTCTGTGGCGCTGACGGCCGAAAATGGTCTGCTCCAGGCGGGTGCGCAGGGAGCTGATGTCTGCGTCCTTCATGGTGCACCGCGGCGCATCCCAGCGAAAGAGGCCCATGGTGCAGAGAACGACTCTGAAGACGAACTGAATAGCCAAATGAGCTCCGCCACACACGCGGCGGATCCGGCCCAGGCGGCAGAGGAGCTCCTCCTTGCGCCGGGCAGCCCTGGGGGCCTCCGAGGGCGGAGCCGCGCCCGAGAGGTCAAAACGGACCCCGAGGAGGTCCACGTGTCCACGGAGAGGCTTGCCGGCCCTCTCGCGGTCCTGCAGGAGGTCCGGGGGCAGGTTGAGGCCGGCCCACTCCTCCTTGCTGGGGTCCTCCTTCTGGCCACTCGCGATGTCCAGCTCCTTGAGGGACCCCTCGACAGCGGTCACGGTGTCGATGTCGCTGGAGGTGATGGTGCGGTCGTCCACGTACGTTCTGAACGAGAATGTCTCTGGATTGTGCAAGACAGCCAACCGCCGCGCGTGGGCCCCGGCAAAGAGGGCGGCGGCGAGGGGCGACGCGGGGTACCCTTGCGGCATGCCACGTTCAGGGCAGATGGGGTCCGAGGCGTACCCTCCCACCTTCACGACCGCAGAAGTGCCGACGGCCGACAGAAATAAGAAGCTGCTGTCAACTTCGTGCATGCCGAACGCCATCGCGAGGCGGTGGGCGAGCTCTGGCTGCAGCCTGGTGAAACAATTTGACAGGTCTGACTGTCGAACAACGAAGGGCTCGCCAGACTCCCGGGCGGCCCCGATCTCGATGTCCATGCTGAAGAGGTTGTGAATGGCGTTCGTGGGCTGCACCTCGTCGGCCCAGTTCTTGTATCGGCCAAGAATCACCTTCTGAAAAGCCCGTAAGACCGCCGCGCCGACCGTGATCGGCCTCAGGTCGTCCGTGAGAGCGCCGTCGCGCACCTTCGGTATCATGGTGGTCACTGCCGTCAGGAGCGCCTTGGGCCACCTGCCGCTGGACCGGATGATGTCGCCGAGGGCGCCGAGCGAGTTGATCGCCTCCTGGGGTGCCTTGGCGAGAAGACCTGCGTCGAGGTCGCAGGGGCCAGCGGCCGTGTAGGCGATGGCACGCAGAGCGGCGCGGAGCGCCCCGATGTTGTCCTCGAAGCTCCAGTCCTCGGGAGGGGCCGGAATAGCCTCGATGGAGCCGCGCACCATCTCGAAATACATGTTCTGGTGGTAGTCGTCTAACTTGGGGTGCAGCTTCGCGTTGAACTGCTTGACGGCCTCAGCGACCAACCGGGATGGATCCGCGGTCGGTTTCGACGTCGCCCTCGGACCTGGCCCACCCGACGCGACCGCAGGAGCCGCGGTGAAGGGCTTATTCTTGACGTAGTCGAAGATAGCGTGCAAGTTGCCAACTTGGGCACGGGCGCGCCACTGCTGGATGCGCGCGTCGGCGTTGTCCTGGCCAATCTTGTCCAAGCGCGCCTGGAGAAAGACCCCGAGCGCCGGGTAGTCAAGCATGTCGGTGTCCTGGTCCAGCACCCCGTCAGCGATGAGGCCCTGGATGGTCCGTTCAATGCTTCGGACCAGGTCTGGGTGATCCTGCCCAGTTCTGTCCTTGAACTGCTGCTCGGTGATGCGTCGCAGCAGTCGGTGCAACCGCCGTTCCGTGACGCACGTCCGGTGCCCTTGGGCTCCCCGGAACGTCCTCTGCCACTTCTTCAGCGCGGCGCCATATTTCCGTGTGCGCTGATCCTCAGGGACCCCGCACGAGGCCTCCAGGCAGTCGCACCATGTCTCCCAGAGAAGGTCGACGTCACCTTCCCGAAGTGCTCGTTCCCAGACCGCTGCATGGGATGAGGCGGCGGATCGCCACTCTTCCTCCCAGTCGTCAGGGATCTCCAGAGGGTGGCACTTTCTGATCGTCTGAACGACCGCCTGCGGCTCGAGGTGAAAATGCACCACCGCAGGGGCGTGGTCGCTGAACTTGGTGTCGAGGGAAACGGATTCGACGGCGAGGTACCGGACCATGGCAAGGTCGATCATCTTGTCCCCGTGAGTGTAGAATGTGCTAGAGGTATGAGCCTTCTCGTGTGCGTACTCCATGAGGCCGAGCCACGGCGAGAGCTCCCCGTCGTACGGCTCCGCGTTGCAGTCGCCAACAACGAGGGCTGGTAGGCCAGAAGCGGCCGCTCGGACCGCGATGGCGTCCGCAAGCTTCCTGCGAGCGTGTGCGTCCTTGACGTCCATGTAAACGCCGACGATGATCATGTCGGAGCCGCTGGCGTGCGGGATGCCGGAGACCACCCTGCCGTCGAACTCAGACGACCATTTCCATGGATCCTTACGTAACTCATCAGGTCCAAACAATGCCACGCCGCCCCGGCGACCACCAGGGGGCGCTGGCACCGCGAGATATGCTGGAAAAATTGACGTAACCAACTTCCCGAAGCTGCTGGTGCGAGATTCGTCAATGTTCGTGTCGACAATGCAGCCGACGTGGGCGCGGGTCGCATCGAGCTGCCCCCTGATCCTGTCCCACTTTCCCTTGCCATGACTGTCGGTGAGCCCGTTCGTGTTGCAGAACCAGACTCGCAGGCCATCCGGCGCATGCGGAGGCTTAGTCTTCGATTTGCGCCGTGGCCCTGGGTTCGCGGCCTCTCCGATGCGTTGGCCGCGCAACGGGAGAGGCCGCACCTCCGTTCAAGAGGGCGCAAGGGCCCGGCCGACAGACCGGGGCATGTGGAGGATGCCAGGGGTACGCGGAGTGATGAGTCCCCTGCCCACGCTCTTCTGGCGCCGGAAGGATGGACTGTCCCGCACGTTGGTGAACTTGGTGCGCTTATCGACCAGCTTGGCCGTGCTGAAGACGTCGCGGACGGCCGCCCTGTAGTCGAGGGTGGCCATGCGATTGGCGATGGGTGCAGCACGGCATGGGGAGAAGAACGCGCCACTGGTGGTGACGCAGGAGCTGCAGTTCTTGCACGCGTGCACAATCCTGTACGTCTGACCATGGCTCTTGCTCCTGGTCGCCGTACTCTTGTCGAGGTCGTGGGTGATGTCCCGGAGATGCGCCGGGAGAACAACCATCCGCTGCAGGTAAGACTTCCACGCCTTCTCCTCCCGCGCCTTGTACGCCGCGGGCCGGGCGTAGTCGAGGCGGCGCCTCACCTGCTTCGAGTTCTCGGGCATCCATCTGGATCCCGGCTGGCACTCAGCCCAATGCTTCGCAGCGGCCCTGTAGTGCTCCCTCGCTTTCCCTGGGAGGCCGGCGACCCGCCATCCGCAGGGACAGGCAAACACATCGCCTGGTAAGTAGTATTGCTCGCACTTGTCCTTGACTGTCATCTCGAACTGGCGGCGCTGGATCTCCACATCCCTCCCCGTGGCATCGGGGTGCGCGGTCAGCCAGTCGAGGCACGAGGAGACAGTGTCGTAGAAGAATTTGGCGTCCGCGTCGGAGACCTGCCTCTCCGCGCGTGCGAAGTTGTGGCGGAACGACAGCAGGTAGGTCTCGAAGTCAACCGCCGGACCCTGGGAGGGTGGCGGAGGAGCGCCGGCCTCTGCACGTCCAGCTGCGGAGGTAGAAGTGCACCGAGGGCGCTTCGACGAAGCGGCAGGCGCCCTCTGAGAAGAAGACGTGGCCTTCCTCACCTTCCGCGCGGCCGCCGGGGAAGGTGGAGGTCGAGGGGAGGAGGCCCCCGAACGTGCAGAAGATGCCCTCGAAGCACCCCGTGACGTAGACGCTGGCGGAGAAGCACCAGTGCGCACCCTCTGAGAAGCAAACGGGCGCGGCGAACGAGCGGAAGAGGCCCGTGGTGCAGCCAAAGCCGCCCTCTGAGAAGAAGACGTGGCCTTCCTCGCCTTCCGCGCGGCCGCCGGGGAAGGTGGAGGTCGAGGGGGGGAGGCCCCCGAACGTGCAGAAGATGCCCGCGAAGCACCCCCAGAAGAAGTCCCAGTGGGCGCTCTCTGCGGGGCAGAAGAGCGGAGCGAACGAGCAGACGAGGCCCGAGGTGAAGCTGAAGCCCTCCGCGACGGTGTGGCCATAGACGCCCTCGCCGGAGTACGTGTGCGCGCCGCTGCTGGAGCCGCGGCGGCGGCGGGCCTCTGAGAGGCCCCGGCCGCAGGTGACGCCGAGAGCCATGAGAGCCGGTCGGCACGGTCAGAATCAGAGAGCCAGCTCAAAGGCCGCCCTCCCCCGGCAGGTCCGCGAGGGAACGAGCCGCCGACGTCGCGAGCCAGCTCCGGCGGCCAACGCTTGTCGGGCCTGATCGTCTGGAAGTGCCCGTCTTGGAGCATCAGAGCAATCCACCCTCTGGATTTATAGTCTGCGCCGAACGAGCGGCGTGCCCATTTCCCAGAGGAGTCCTTGAAGAGGACGGTGACGCACCGCTTCATGCGCGCAGCCACGCCTCTGAGCTGCAGCTCGTCCATCCAAAAGGTCGAGACCTTCATCTTTGCGAGGTACTCGCGGAACGTGGAACCCGTATGGCTGAGGTTGTCCGGGTCGGCCGCCCAGAACTCCGCCCAGTCGTCGTCGGCGTCCATGAACTGGGCCGTCTGGATCCTGAGCGTGAGCGCCTCCGTGCGCACCACGTCGAGGTCCGAGAAGGTGCTGTCCTTGAGGAGCCTGCCGCCGAGCACGCAGGCGCAGTGCCCGCATGCGCCGGCGCCGCCAGCTTCCTGCACGATCGCATCCTTGAGGAGGCACTTGGAATCCGTGATCTTCCACTGATCCCTCTTCATGATCTTGGTCGGCTTGGCACCGGCTGGAGGGGCGTCCTGTCGCCGAGTGGCGGCGCCGAGGCTCGCAGGTGGCGAATCGCCGCCTTTCCCTCCACCAACTGCTGGTTCGCCATCGGTCTTTGTAGCGTCCGGCTCCACTTGCATGGCGTCGGCGCCCTTGCCGTTGGCTTTGGCTGGTTGCTCGTCGTCGTGGTCCTGCGGCCGCCAAGGGAGGCCCGGTCGACGAGAGGTGCTGAAGACGTCCAGGGTCGAGGTTGCCATCTTGCGAGTGGCCGGCGTGACCTTGACCTTGTCCTTGTCGTCGAGGAGGTAGATGTAGCTGCACGTTTCGTTGGGTCGCTCCGTGCATTTCACCCTCCATGAACCCGGGCCGAGCATGACCTGCACGTCTGGGTCGGTCCAGGTGTTGGCTGTGAGGAACTCCGCGACCTGTGTCGCGGCCCACCAGCGCGGTGTCTGCACCCGCCACACAAGCGGCGGCTGACGTCGAACATTGTCCTGAGTCTTCTTCTCGAAGCCCAGGTCGTGCTTGCCCCCCATCCTGTGAACGAGGGGTCCGCCTCCATCCTGGGCGCAGCGGTCCAGAACTCGTTTGAGGTATTGCTTGTCCGTGTCCACGTCTTCACGGGTGACCCACTGGATCGTAGTGCGTGGGCGTGCGTCACGGTCACGAGCGAGGCGTTGGAAAAATACCCCGCCTCTTCCAGAGAGGGCCAAGAGCTGGGCGACGCCCTGCTCCGGACCACTGGCGATGAGGCTCATCGCGTCCTTGTCCTTCGTGCCTGGCTTGACGGTGAAAGACCACTTGCCGAGCTGAACCGATTTGAGGTCGACTGGCCAGATGCTCTTGAGCGCGGCGCCGGCCGTGATGTGGGAAAGCGAGTCGTCCAGATACTTTGCAAAGACACTCACGCGGATCGATGTCAGGCCCTCGGGCTTCGAGGGGGCGCCCTTTGGCTGCTCCACGGTCGGGACTGCAGGGGCCTGTAGTGGAGCACCATTGCCGACCTTGCAGCAAGAGGCAGGGCGCAGGGAGTAAGTAACAGGATTGCCTTCCCGAAAAGTGACCCACCTGGGGGTGCAGCTGGCGCTGTCGATGGCGCATTTGGTCGCCTCGTCCATGGTCTTGAACGGGATGGCGACCGTAAGACTCTGCCCGGCGAGGATCGCGGGGTCCTTCTGACCGATGTGTGAGCACCACAAGGCGAGGAGCTCTTTGGCCACAGGCTCGTCGGCTACGGCCACTGTGTGGGCATCCGACGTGGGCATGACGCCGGACCTGAGGCTGGTCAGCAGTTTCATGTCGACGGCGACGTGGAACGTAGGCCAGTCGCGCTGGCATAACATCACCGACGGTGTGGAAGACGAAGAAGAAGAAGCGCTGCGCAGCTTCCCGTTGGCCTCGGACCGGCCCCCGGAATCCTTCCCCTTCCCATTCTTGTGCAGGTTGCCACCGCGACATTTGCCGGGGCCTTGAGGTGGGTCCGTGTCCGTGTTGTTGCCGCGGCCATTGCCTGCAGAGGCGGCCGGCTTCGTGTTGTTGTTGCCCTTCGCCTTGAAGTTGTACAGCGCCAGGTGGCCGCCCTCCGCGGCCTTGATGATGGACCGCAGCCTGTCGAGCACCGGCCGGCCTGAACCTGGCCTGGCGAGAACGTCCTTAAGGGCATCTTCTAAAGTTTTCTTCTCTTTGGGGGCCTTCTTGGGCGAGGAGCGGGGCTCGTCTCTTCCCTTGCCGCCTGAAGGCGGTGGCGAGTGATGGTTGCCGAGCTTATCGAGCAACTGCTTGAGGCCCTGCAGGATGGGGTCTGTGTGGGCCTCCTTGACGGAGCTCTTCTTCTTGGCTCCGCCGAGAGGAAACAGCAAAACATGATGATCAGGATGAGGGGCGACTCCCCGAAGACCAGGGTCACCCGGGACAGCGCCCTCCCGAATAACAGGATCAGGACCAGGAAATTGATCGAGACTTTCACGACGAATTACTCCCTCAATCGGATGAGGTGCGTCTTCCCGAAGATTAGGGACACCCAGGACAGCATCCTCCCGATGACCAGGGACAAGACCAGGTAAAAGGTCAAGACTTTCACGACGCACAACGACAAGAGGTGGGCCACCAGGAAGACCAGGGCCTACCAGAACGACTCCCTCCGGTCGAACATATCGAGAATCAGGGCTCGAAGCCACAGAAATTCGTGCAGACCACTTCTGAAGGCAAACTTGGAAGAAGACCAGGACGCCCCAGTAGATGATCACGGTTCCCCAGAATTGTACGCTACCCCATAGCTGACAATCAGGAAGAACATTAGAAACAACATCAAAATCATGAACCTGAATCTGCATCTCGCAGTTCATCGGATGGTCCTGGGGCCCCTCGGAGTAGATATCCAGAGCAGCCTGAAAATAATTAACGCTGACAACCCTCAGCACCTCGAAGCTTCTTTTCCGAGAATTACTCCCGTAATCGGATACCTCGAGGCCCAACCACACGTGCCCGATACCGTGGACGTGGTTGTCGTAGTGGTCCACGCCCTTTGACTGGAACTCGTCCCCGTAGGCTTCGGGGGCACTGACCTCCAAGCCCTCGGCGGCCGCATCAGGGTCCTGCTGAAGGAACACGGCAATGGCCCTCTTGGCCTCTGGCGGGATGAGGCTCAGGCCGTTCAGGTCCGCGAGCTGCACGAATGCGGCCTGCGGGCGGTTGTAGGCCTGCTTCTTGAGAACCTCGATCGTCCGCTGCAGGGCGCTAACGGACTCGGAGTAGTCCGTGTGCAGGGTCTCGTAGTCCGCCTTCTCGAGCTGGCGCACCTTGGAAGCAGCAACCATGTCTCCGTCCCAGGCGCTAATGTCCGCGTCGTGGCCCTCGATCTCCTTATTCAGCTGCTCGGCGTCGGACAAATACTTCTCGATGTCGGCCTTCAGTACCTCGATCTTGTCGTTGGCCTCTGCGATGGCCTTCTGCTTGAGACTTGTGGTGTCCTCGTGCTGCGGCGGCGGAGGCGCCCGCCAGGAGCTGCGCGCGGCCGCCGATCGGGCTTAGGTGGAGGCTGAGGCCAGGAGTGCCTCACCCCCAGGGCTCCGCGCGGCTCGCGTGAGCCCGACCTCCTGGGCGGCCTGATCGTTGGCGATCGCGCCGGGAGATCGAGCGACCCCCCAGACGTGACCACGATCTGGCCCCCTCCCAGCTGAGGCCAGATGGGCTTGCAGGGAGGAGGGGAGGAGGAGGAGGAGGAGGAGGAGGAGGAGGGAGAGGAGGGAGGAGGAGGAGGAGGAGGAGGAGGAGGAGGAGGAGGAGGAGGAGGGAGGAGGAGGAGGAGGAGGAGGAGGAGGAGGAGGAGGAGGAGGAGGAGGAGGAGGAGGAGGAGGAGGAGGAGGAGGAGGAGGGAGGAGGAGGAGGAGGGAGGAGGAGGAGGAGGAGGAGGAGGAGGAGGAGGAGGAGGAGGAGGAGGAGGAGGAGGAGGAGGAGGAGGAGGAGGAGGAAGGAGGAGGAGGAGGAGGAGGAGGAGGAGGAGGAGGAGGGAGGAGGAGGAGGAGGAGGAGGAGGAGGAGGAGGAGGAGGAGGAGGGAGGAGGAGGAGGAGGAGGAGGAGGAGGAGGAGGAGGAGGAGGAGGAGGAGGAGGAGGAGGATCCCGTTGTGCCCAGTTTGGCCTCGTGGTGCCCCGCGGCTGCCTCCGACCGCAGCGTGGATCCGTTCCGCTGCGACCAGCACGTCTTGGAGTCGGAGCATCTCTAGACCCGTTTTTCGCTTTCCGTCCAGGCTCTGGGGTGTGGTGTGCTGGAGGGTTTGCTGGATGAGTTGCGCTAGCACTTCCTCTGTCCCCCCGCGTGCTCCACACCCTGGCACGTTCCCGTGTCCTGGCACATGCTGGAAGTAAGGCAGGCTCGTCGATTCGGTGCGCCTCTTGCTTTCGTCCGTTCGTTCCCCTCGCACTCCGCCTCCTGCTTCTGCTTCCTTCTGCGTAGTTGTCATCGCTTTCGCCGTCTTCATCCTCGTCCTCATCGCGGGCGTGCGGGCACGCGAACGGGCACACGAGGTCGACCCCGGGTGTGCTTTGTTTTGTGTACATGGTTTGCGTGTCCGCACGGGTTTCAAAACCAGGCCCATTCGAGGTACGATCCCCAAGACCTTCGTGGGGAGCACACAGCGAGAAGCTGCCACCCCGTTTTCGGGACGAGCACGGACTGCAACTCAAGCAACACGTGGACGCATGGGCTCTTAGGGCGCGTGGCATCTTCAGAATGCTTGACATGCCTGCGTCTCCACGTGTGTCTGCTCGCAACGACTGGCGCAACCGTCGAACCAGTTCTTCTTGGTGTTAGAAGGTCGCGGTTGCAAGTGGAAGAGGGGGAGAGAGAGAGAGAGGGGGAGCAATACAACAAGACAGAGGGATATATGATGAGATAGAGAGATATGGGGGGAGAGACGGAGAGAGAGAGAGAGAGAGAGAGAAAGAGAGAGAGAGAGAGTGAGAGAGAGAGGCCACAAACGCGAGAGAGAGAGAGCGCGTAGCGTTGTTCTCCAGAGATAGAGTGTTCACGTGGTGCTTAACATGTATCCAGCTGCCTGCGGCACATCCACCACCCTGCCAGTGAAACGCCATGTGCGGCGACCCTTCGAGCACCGCCTGGAAGGCCGTCACATGTGAAGCCTTTCGTCTTTACGGCTCTCACGGTGCCTATTTGAACCGTCTTGGGCTCTTGTGGGGCAGTCTTGAGAGTCATTCGGGGCCCTCGTGGCCCGCCTTGTGACCTTTGGAACCCAGTTGGGCCGCCTGGGGGCTCTCTCGGTCGTCTGATGGGTCTCTTGGGGCCGTTGTGGGGCCCCCTTTGGGCGTTCTTGGGCCGCTCAGGGGCCCTCGTAGGCCGTCTTGGGTCCATCCAAGGGCCCTCTTGGGGGGCTCCTTGGAGTCTTCGAAGACTGACGGATATTCAACCGAAGAGTGTGGAAAACAAAAAGTGCGGAATTACCTCAGGAAGGCCAATGCTTTTGGCTTCTGGAGGACCCCTGGCGAGCGTCTTGGGAGCGTCGTTGGGCCTGTTGGAGGCCTCCTGGGACCTATCTGACGCTTCTTCGGGGCTCTTGGGTTCAGAATCTTGAAGCAATGTTGGGCCATCTTGGCGGCCTTGGTGACCTTCCTGGGCCGTCTTGGAATCCTTGGAAAGCATAGGAGAGCCCCAGGGAGGCGTTGGGCCTCCTTGGAAGATTCGGAAGGGAGGGCCGACGCACGCAGCGGAGCGTGTCGATTGGTGGGTGGCTCCCTGAGAAGTCTTGCAGATGACTTTCCAGACAGCCCTTGGCATTCTACCACGCCTTAACCCGCCAGGGTGCACGGTGGCGGATGCTGGATGGAGCCTCAGTGTGAGCCTGCCTCGTCCCCAAACGCCGCCCCACGTCTCCAGTCGTCCCACAACCTCCTTACGCTCCATGTTCAAGCCCCGAGCCTCATCGGTACTCCATACCCTCCGCTTGAAGGTTTTGGCCAAGTCCCGCTTCTGGTACTTCATGAAGAAGCTGAACAAGGCGAGGGCGTAGCTGGCAGATCAGCGGGCAACGCGTGCGGTCAGGTTCTTATGCTTAACGTGTCGTGCCGCCAGTTTTGGCCCAGTGTGCTTCGGCGCAGCACGCTAACCACGCCCCCTGCCCCAAGCGGCAACGTCCCGAGCCTTTCCCGGCCTCCCACCCCGCGGAGCGGAGAACCACGCTATCCGCTTGTGGGGCATGACGTGTCGCCGGGCCCGCCGCCGCGGCACGCTAAGCCAAAGTCCCTGACCGTAGCAGGGGCCGCAGGCGGAGTCGTGACTGGGGCGGCCCCTTCCCCGCGTAGTCTCGTCGGGCCCTCCGACTCCGCCGCTCTCTTGCCCCCTCGACCCCCCCCCCCTTCACGTTCGGGGGACAAGCCAGGAGGGCGCATGCACCGATCCTGGGCCCAGGATGGGCCAGGCGCGGATCGGCCAGGTGGTCCGTTGGTCCTCCTCCCTGTCTCGCAGCTGGCCTCCGGGTTCCTGTCGGAAGTGCGTCTGCCATTGGTCACGGCTCTCCTCGAGAGCTTGGGGCCGCCGGCGCTGCCCAGGAAGGCGGACACCATCTCAGCGGGCATCCTCCGTACCTCCCCTTGCGGTCAGGGGCAACGATCGGGGGGGATAGGCATAGGGGGGAGGATGCATCGATCCCCAATCGCCCATTGATCGCTGACAGGGGCCCGATAGCCCCACCGTGCCCAGCAACGTTCGGCTTCACTATCGGGGGCCTATCGCCGATCTGTCGGCGATGTATCGCCGATTCTAGGTCGTTGTGTCCCCTCTCTTTGCCCGTCCCCCATATCGTTGACCCTCATGTGGTCGCTTCTCTCCTTGAGCCAAGGGCCCAGGAACAATGAGCTGCTGCGCAGCCCGCTTCAGCCCGACCACGCCGACCCCCTCTGCTGCTGCTGCTACCACTGGCCACCGGGAAAGAGGGGGACCAGGCTCTTCCCCGAGAGCTGTCCGACACGATTTTTCTATCACTCCTCCTCCTCCTCCTCCTCCTCGCCCTCCTCCCTCCTCCCTCCTCCTCCTCCTCTTCCTCCTCCTCCTCCTCCTCCTCCTCCTCCTCCTCCGCCCTCCTCCCTCCTCCTCCTCCTCCGCCCTCCGCCCTCCTCTTCCTCCTCCTCCGCCCTCCGCCCTCCGGCCTCGTCCTCCTCCTCCTCCTCCTCCTCCTCCTCCTCCTCCTCCTCCCTGCTCCTCCCTTTCTGCCTCGGTGTGGGATTTAAGTCGCTTGGGATCCCAGGGACGACTGGCCCCGAGGGAGGCCCTTCCGCAGGAGTCTCGATTTTGTGCCGCGCAAGTCTTGGGCTACACCCTGCCCCGTCTGGTCTTGAAATCGTGCCCCATCGAGCCATCACGGCCCAGGTGCACGCCCCGCATGGTGAAACGTTCCAGGCTTGCTTGGTCTATTTAAGAGACTCGGAGGGCCTCTCGGAAGATAATATTAGCATGCTGTCGTCTATAGGGGCTGTGGGATCCACTTGCGGGAAGCCATTCGTTGTCGGGGGAGACTGGAACATGGAACCGTCGGTACTCGAGAAGTCCAAGTTCGTGAGCACCCTGGTCGGCCAGGTCATCGATACATCGACCCCCACGTGCCACACTGGAGGAGGGAAGGTTTACGATTACTTTGTGGCGTCTTCGGGTTTATCGTAAGGAGTTGCAGACATTGCTACGCTCGACGATGCTGGCTTCTTCCCTCATGAACCTGTTCGCCTGACGTTCCATGCAGGTCTGCCCAGGATGCATTATTTAACGTTCAAGAGGCCACCACCTATTCCCACGGAGGTGCCTTTCGGTCCGTTGCCCGAACCACTGGATTTTTCTAGAGTCGACGCCCAGCTTGACGCCACCTTCATCAGAGCGAAGCGAGGGGACGACTCCGCCATGACGGCGTAACTATTTCTTGAGGCTTATGCGTTTCGGGCTGGACTCGCGGAACGCCAGCTTTCGAGGATCTTTGGGGTCAACCTTCCTGTATGGGGGACCATGGGGAAAGGGCCCAGGACCCACTGGAGGCCCATCCTTGGGAAAGACCACGGAAGTGTTCGGTATCCGCAGCTGCACGCCACGCTTTGGATGGCGGCCCACTTTAAACGTCTTGCTTCCTGTGCTCAGCGAGGGGATTGGCCTCAGGCTCGGGACATGGCGAGGATCTTGACCCCTTCCCCCTGTGTGTGTGTTTGTGTCAGACCGATGACCCCTTTCCTGGGATGGAAGTCATTCTCTCTTTGGTTAGATGTATTGTGAACGAAGTTGCTGAAGTTCCCCCTTACCCTTTGGACCCGATTCAGTTGGAACAAGCTGAGTTTTTGCAGGACCGCGTTGCCGAGGCCAACGAAAAGGTTTCGGATTTTGCCGCTCAGTGTCCCAATTTCCATTCGACCAAAGCCAAAGAGATTGGGCCGATTGGCTCACCGAACACGTCGACCAAGGAGGTAGGAGAGCTCACAGCTACACCAAGGACCCGCAGGGCTGAAAGCCCAGTACGATTTTAAGTTCAGGAGGCTGCGTGGTGTCCGACCCGCAGGCGCTCTTGGATGATGGGATGCAGCGGTTCCGCGAGCTGTGGGAAGGGTTGCCTATGCCAGCGAAGAGGAGCGGGAAAGTTCACCCCCCCTTCCCCCGATTCCGATTGAAATGGTTCGGCAGTTTTCGAAGAAGTTTGCCCAAAGGTCTGCGACAGGCCTCGATGGGTTTCACCTTCGCCATTTCTCTGTTCTGTCTGATGGAGCCTTGCGGGCTCTCTCCATAATGTTTTCGTTGATGGACATGGCTGGCACCCTGCCCCTGCAGCTACAGGCGGTGATTATCGCTCTTCTTCTGATGCCCAGCTCAGGCTTTCGGCCTATATGAGTTTTGCCAGCTTGTACCGCCTGTGGGGGAAATGCAGGGGAGAGTGTGCTATCCATCCACTTGGAAAGTGATAATCAGAGGAGTTACTGGGCGGCAGGTAAGCATAAGTCAGCCAGTGATGTCGTATGGCGGCAAGCGTCCAGGTCAGAGTCTTCACGTTCTCAAGGGGATCACGCTTGCACCCTGTTGTGGGACCTTGTAAAGTATTGCGAGCGGATCCCTCTGGAGTTGCTGGAGTTGCGCTGCAGGCAGCGCGGCATGCCTAGCCAGATCACAGACGTCTGCCTGGCTGGGTGCAGATCTGCTCGCTCTCTGGTCCTTGCTGGTGTCGTTGCTCACCCCACCCACGCCAGAGTAGGAACTATAGCGGGGTGCAGTTTCGCCACCACGATGATCCGCGTTCTGGCGCTCCGAGGGTTCGATCAGCTAGTCCTTCCTCAGAGTCTGCCCTTTGATGCGTACACGCATCTGGATTGTATTTGCCTGGCGGACGGCCAGGACAGCTCTTGGCAAGTTCTGCCAGGCGAGCTCCAGAGGTGTATCTCTTGCACTTCACACGAACCACAACAAACCCCCCGTTACCCGCGTCCAGGAGAATACATACACCTATGACTTCGACCCCTGAGATCAAGTACATTGACTTTGAGGGACCCTGAACAGTTGCCTGGCGGCGGGGACGTACTCGCATCATTTCGCGAGGTCCGCAAACATCTTTGACAACACCAAAAACGCTGATACCCGCCAGGAGGCCCCATCCACTCCCACAGATGGGGATTAGGGGGCAACCCGTGGGGCAGGAGTGGTCGGAGACGGCCACGTAGCACAGGAAACGTCAGTGCGAGGCCATAGCGGCAGCAGAGTGGCAGCGAGTCTGACTGCGAGCTGGGCCGAATTAGTGAGGTGGTCGCATTCTTCCGCCACCTTAGGTGCAGGCTACGCGTGGGTGTCGGCACCCCACTTCGCAGCTCTGTCGGCAAAACCGTTCCCGAGCAGTCGAAATCGATCGTCTTCGCTGATGTCGGGATCGTCGGGCGATAAATGAACTTTGGCCTTCTCACACCCAAGCGTCCATTTTCCGCCAAATTAGCGGCCCTGCAACGCGAGACCCGAGCATGGACACTTTGGTGAGAGCTGCTCGCAACTCGGGAGGTCGTGCATCGAAACAACATTCTGGCAGTCTGAGTAGAGCACTGTGGGACCAGATAGGACAGCTCCAGCCATCGCGTAAGCCGCAAACTCGCCAGCCTGGGGAGTCTGCGGGCAACTGTCCCACACTGGCCCCCACATCATGGCGAGAAGGTGCGAGCGAGGGCCTAACGTATCCAGCCTCCAACCCGCTCTGTTCGAGCTGCGAACAAGCCTGCGGGTGCATCACCCGTCGAGAAAAACGTGTCCCCACAGCTGCCTACGATCATCCTGTGGCATGACCATTCCTTCGGCCTCGAAGCCTTCAGGCTAAAACTGAAAGTGGATTCCGTCATCATCGTTGCCACTGTCGGCTTTGGGGGGTGGTATCACACATTCAGGGCGTCCAAACAAGCCAGAGAGGAAGTGCAATCGCTCGCGATCAGAAGATCCCTCATAACGTCGAATACTAGCCTCCTGTTGCCGCTGGGAAACCACGTCTCTTCGTTCCTCTGACACTGCCGAACAAAGCCAAAGCCGATGGAACAGGGTGCCCCCTGGCTCATGACAAAAAGGGCAAACATCTGCAACATCGTAGCCTGCAGCTCGAGCACGAGCTAGCGGCCACAGTCCTTGGCAGGCGCAGCAACGCAGAGTTCCTTTCTGGCGCGCCGAAAAAACGTTTGGAACGGAAGGCCCTCGAGACGGCATCGGAACAAAGCCTCTGAGAACCTTCGGGTCCGCATTTCATGGCAGCCTCTCTTTCCAAAGCCCCCCGGACCCCTTCCTTCAAGAGAACCTTCAGGAGGGCGGGGGGGTGAGGGTGAGGGAGTGCTCAACTTTGAGGTCGCTAATCAAGCTGAATGGTTTGGGCATAGTCCACCCAATGCGACCGAGGGGAAGTTTCACGGCCCCATATGGGCCTTCCAGCGGTCCTCCAGGTACACCGCCTCGCACAAAAACATGGTTCCACATTCCCCGAAGGTCGGCCCAGGAGAAACGAGCTTCACTGGCCCG